TGAGAAAATATTTGGCTTCCATTACAGTAACATTAAACAAGGACCATGAACTATTCCTCATAATCAGCAATTTTCTCTTTCACCACAGGCCAATCCATGAACATGTACACACATGCAGCCTAAAAGAATGTTACGACATCTTTATAATTGTTTTTAGTCCAGGCGGATGGTGCTCTAAAATATTGTTATGCTTAGCATGTTGGGTGCACTCTTTGTTTCTCTGCATATCTAACACTTAAAAGTCTTGAAGTTTTGTTAGCAATGAAGGGAGTATTTAGAGGACGGAAATAGTAGTTTAAATGTAATAAAATTGCACCTGAGGTGGAGAGTTACTGTCTGAGGACCAACGTGATGACTGGTCATTAGGTTTATCCACGAGAATATTCCTGTACAAAATGCAAAATACCTCCAACATTACCCCCTGACACCAAAGAAAGATGCCAGCAAATTAAAGAACAAAGCATACACGAGGTCTTACGTTGGTAGATAATTGGAGGAATGGCTGGAACACTTGTGAATGGAATACGTTAAAACACCAGGTGAGACGCTCCCTGAAGCCGCCATTTTGGCGCACTTCAACGATTGCGCAGGTACTTGAGACGCGCGCACAACATCATGGGACAAACGCCTCGCTCCCGCCCAGTCCCCATTCATCAAAGATGGCGGCCGGTCTGGCGAACGTAGGACGAGGTCTTCTTGGTATTTGGAGTCGCGGGATTCAACCTTCCTCTGTTGTAGATGTAAGAAGTTTCTTATTTTTCTGAATTTCTTTTAAGAGATGTGATAATGTTTGAAATTATACTAAGATGTTTATGTTGATGCATGTGTTATCATCAAGTGATGGGCTGGGCGGTCTTGTATAAAGTAAGTTTAAAATTAATGATAATCTGATTGCCCACAAATAAGCTTGAGCTGAAGTAACAAACAGCCCTCCGAGCAGAGACTGCCTTCCTTTGCCAATATTAAACAAAGATATGAGTGAAAAACCCTTTTGTTAATTTTTGTCAAGCAAAATCTAAAAGCAGAACGTATTAAAGCTTTTAACCTTTGTGGGAGAGTATATGTGTGGTGTGGTGGGATACCAAGCTAAGATACCCAATTTCTTTGCCCAGAAATACCAGTATGCCTTAACTGCAAACTTGTTGATCATAGTAATACCTCAGATTACATTCTAATGCCGAATACTAGTATTACCAAAAACCCCTGGATAAGTCTGATCCACTGATGTCTTAATCATATTCCTGTATCTTTACATCCCCTATGGGAGATTATACAGTAATAATTCATTTAGGCTGAAAATGATGGTCGTTGAGAGGGAACTGAAGGACAGGTGGTTACTGAAGATCTAAGTAAGCTTTACCTTGTGCTTCCATTTCTTGCTTCACAAACCCTGTGACTAAGATTTCAAGTTGCCAGGTAAATACTACAAGAAGGCAGGGAATTATAAAAGCAGCTAGGGATTTCTTTTGGTTGTATTCTTCTTCTATTTTCCTATGGACGAAGTAGCTGGGGGTCACATTCATGGAAGCCAGAGGAAATCCCCAGCCCTCCGCTCTTATACTTAATGACAGCCCTGCAAGCCTGTATGATGAGCACCATGGTTTCTTTATTCAGAGCTTTTGCACATTGACCAGTTGTTTCACCTACGAGTCATTTTGCTAATGTCTTGTTCAGTAACATCTTATGTTGTTCTGTTTAAGAAGCGAAACGAGCGCTGCCCATATGCATACCTCATTCTCTCAGCCATGAAGAAAAAAAATGCAATACGCATGTAACACCTGTTTGTTTCATACACTGATCAGGCAAAAGCAGTTAGGGAACTAACCCAACACATAAGCTAAACAACTTAAGACCAGGGTTCAAAATAAAATCACAGTTCTTAGCCTGAATCTGTAGGCTCTTTTTATCAAGGCTTATTTTTTCCCAGCTGTCAATAATGAATGAGCACATCCCATCAATAGTCAACAACAGAAAAAGGAAGCTCTCTTTTTTGGTGTTTGTTCAAGCATAAAATATGTGACTTTGTCTTGACAAACCTTCACACTTCTTTACTCACAAACCAGGGCAGAGCACAAACATGGAAAATAATCTGTCAAGCAAATATGCATACAAAACTAAATTTAATTTGAACTAGTGAAAAGGCTTCGCAAACGGCACTAAACAAGTTTTTGTTCAAAATAAATCTTTATTACTTGTACCTGTGCAGAAACATAAGGTCGGTAATTAATGCAACAGTTTGTTTGTCTAGACAAACTTGCATGTTTCACCCTTGAATGAATAACTGTGTAAATTTAGTTGTTCATGGTGAACAAGAATTCTCTTTTTCAACTTTTGCAGCATGTGTTAAATTTCCAGACCTTTTTCTCCTCTACCCTCATTGTAAAATGTTTCCAAAAAGTTTTTAGATTTTTGGCTGCTTTATTGTCTGATATGAAATGTTTATCACAACATTACAGCGACTTTCATTTCAGTTGGTCAATCAAAGCATGACATTTCTGTTTCTTGTGTGAAAAGTCACTGGCAAGTGTGGTCAAAGTGCTGGCTGCCACCTGCAAGTGGCTGCTATTTTGAACCCTGTTAAGACGTTAGTGAAGTGGTTGTTGGCGAAATGACTGTAAAGCTTTTGCACAACCCTGAATATCCAACTGAAATTGATGCTTTGTTTAATGCACCACCGCTTTTAACCTGAGTGCCTTCCCCTCTCAACAAACATACATGAATGGTAGCTTATTTTTGTCAGTATTGCAGATGGGTATTACAAGTTCAAATGATTATTGATACACCAGCACTTTAATACTGCTTATAAAAACACATTAATTTTTGCTTATTGTTTATTAGACAATACACAAAAGCAAATTTGTGATGTTCACAGCAAGGAGTTATACATGTTTAACAGGTATTTTTGGCAAACTGTATATTTTTTTAATTCTTGTGTACCTGCATGATTGTATCAACTAGATTTAGTTGCTAGAGCCCTGTTTAGCTAAAGTTTAATTTTTAGAAAAAACCCATAAGCTAAACAAAAACACCTTTAAGATAATAGTTGCAGCCTCTTTTTAATATTGTTGGCATCAAAACTGTTGACTGACTGTTTTTAAAATCAGCTGTTTGGTAGGCTCAGCCAGATATCTCTTTTGAGGCATTGTCCAGCCTGAAAGATGAAATTTATTGGCTTTTCACATACTCACACTCAAACACTTGATTAACAATTGACATACAAGAAGTCTGTTTCTGCCTGCAAATAGCAAGTATTAGTCAAGGTGGGCAGAGACACAGGGGTACAACAGTCAGTGATAAACTAGAATGGTTAGTAAAAAATAAATAAATTAATAGANACAAACTTGCATGTTTCACCCTTGAATGAATAACTGTGTAAATTTAGTTGTTCATGGTGAACAAGAATTCTCTTTTTCAACTTTTGCAGCATGTGTTAAATTTCCAGACCTTTTTCTCCTCTACCCTCATTGTAAAATGTTTCCAAAAAGTTTTTAGATTTTTGGCTGCTTTATTGTCTGATATGAAATGTTTATCACAACATTACAGCGACTTTCATTTCAGTTGGTCAATCAAAGCATGACATTTCTGTTTCTTGTGTGAAAAGTCACTGGCAAGTGTGGTCAAAGTGCTGGCTGCCACCTGCAAGTGGCTGCTATTTTGAACCCTGTTAAGACGTTAGTGAAGTGGTTGTTGGCGAAATGACTGTAAAGCTTTTGCACAACCCTGAATATCCAACTGAAATTGATGCTTTGTTTAATGCACCACCGCTTTTAACCTGAGTGCCTTCCCCTCTCAACAAACATACATGAATGGTAGCTTATTTTTGTCAGTATTGCAGATGGGTATTACAAGTTCAAATGATTATTGATACACCAGCACTTTAATACTGCTTATAAAAACACATTAATTTTTGCTTATTGTTTATTAGACAATACACAAAAGCAAATTTGTGATGTTCACAGCAAGGAGTTATACATGTTTAACAGGTATTTTTGGCAAACTGTATATTTTTTTAATTCTTGTGTACCTGCATGATTGTATCAACTAGATTTAGTTGCTAGAGCCCTGTTTAGCTAAAGTTTAATTTTTAGAAAAAACCCATAAGCTAAACAAAAACACCTTTAAGATAATAGTTGCAGCCTCTTTTTAATATTGTTGGCATCAAAACTGTTGACTGACTGTTTTTAAAATCAGCTGTTTGGTAGGCTCAGCCAGATATCTCTTTTGAGGCATTGTCCAGCCTGAAAGATGAAATTTATTGGCTTTTCACATACTCACACTCAAACACTTGATTAACAATTGACATACAAGAAGTCTGTTTCTGCCTGCAAATAGCAAGTATTAGTCAAGGTGGGCAGAGACACAGGGGTACAACAGTCAGTGATAAACTAGAATGGTTAGTAAAAAATAAATAAATTAATAGAACTTTAATTAACTTTAACAACACTTTGGGATGTCATTTATTAGAGGGTTTACTGTAGAAACATTGACCACAGAAAACATGCATGATTTTCCACTAACAAGGAAAGGTGTCCATTTTGTATAGGTAGTCATACAACATCAAGTTTAATTTATTATTAGCAATTAATGAATGAGGCTGAGTAGGATATGAAGAATTAAGCAGATGGAGGAGGGTGTTATCCACTGAGGCCAAAGGCCAAGGTGGATGACACCCTCCAAAGTCTGCTTGATTCTTCATATCCTACGAAAGTTGAATTCATTCATTGCTTTATTATTCATTCAAAATAGTTCCTAGTTTAAAAACATAGCTTAAACTTGCTTACCGGTGTTGATGTTAAGTTCATCTTTGATAGTGTACGTTTTGGTTTGTCCTGCTCCGCAAATACATGTATTCTCCAAATAGCAGATGTTGCCCTCTGAGTTGTCTTCTTGCTGTTTTTGCCATGGTTTTAGCTGTTATTTTGCCTCGTTCCAGCTGTAGTTCTCACTCTTGAAACAAGTGAAATGTCCACTATTTTTTTGTTCACAACCAAAACAACTCAACCTTGACCCCAAGTCTTCTCGGTTAATGGTGCCTTAACCTGTAGCATGCTGCAATTTGACGTCATTTCCTCGTTAAACACAGAATCTTTCCAAATTTGGTCATCAGTGACTGGTTATGGTGAATTATGCATGTGCTTTTAGCCCATCAGAATTGAGGAATCATTTTGAATGAATAACAATATTATTTATTTGCATGAATGCGTTTTTAAAAAAGTATCACTATGAAACTTAAAAGGCAATGGCAACAGCAATGCACAATGTGTGTGTACAATGTGTTTTTACATTAACACATCAAGACTGAATCAAAACCAAGGTTCTTTTGTTAGGTTCGGAGCTAAGCTGTGGAACTCGATTCATGATGAAGCCCGTTATCTCCTCAAGAGAGCTTTTAAAAAACATATCAACTATAACTGTTAGAAGTGGTTGATTTTGTCGACAAAATTTACCGTTGCTTAAGGGAGGGGGGATGGGTGCTGACAGGAGATGACCTGGTCTCATGGGTCTCTTCTGGCTACAGGTCTGACACGTTTTCTTATTGCTTACAATTACATTATTATGAGCAGTGACATGGCGACACTAAAAATTCCTCTTAAATTCTGAGGTGCATTATTCCATTTAGCCCAGAACTGCCACTTGCACCTTTCTTTTGGTTCTATTTTCCTTTTTTTCCTATGAAAGTAACTGGTGGTCATACATATAGTGGCCAGGGAGATCCCTGCCCTCCAGCCCTTAGTGACAGCCCTGTTAACAGCAAACTTAGAGATATCATGGGGCCTTATTTCCCAGTGGGGGTGAAGTGGTTGAGTGAGTGAGGTGGGTGGGTGGGTGGGTGAGTGAGTGAGTGAGTGAGTGAGTGAGTGAGTGAGTAAGTATAGGCTATCATAAGACCAAAGGCCAAGTGGTCCTTTGCAGGAGTTTAGACGGAATGGAACCTAAAGAGGATACAGTTATTGATTATAGCTGGTTGTTTATGAGAGGTTCTATTTACAAGAGGTTGCTGAAAATGAAGGTTTGGCTGTACACTCAAATATAAACTCTACTTACTGGCACCTCCATAATACAGACACCAGTCACAAATGAAAAGTTCTTTTGGTCCCAAACATACTAAACTTCATACTTGCACAATCCCCTACTCTATAATACGGTCCTCTGTAATGTAAACACTTGACATAAAGGAGGTTAACTGTACTTGTACCCCTTTCATAAAAAGCAATGCAAAATATGAAATGAATTTTTGCATTTTGTGAATCATTGTCTTACAGGTGGTCTTCAGCCAGTTGCGAGAAATCTTCGATATGTGTCCAATAATGTGAGCATCTCATTTGTATGGAATTCATTGCAACACACCCGATCAGTGTACAATCAGAGACGCTTTCCTTCTGCGGCTATATTGTTCCATCAACAACCAGGATCGACAGCACAGTCTCTTATGTTTACGGCTCTAAGAAATAAGACTTGTCCTAATCAAGAACTGCAAGGATCTTTTGGTGCAAGATACCTTCCCACCCTTAATCAATACCGACGAGGTAAAGCGAAAACTAAGAATGACATTGCTGAGAAATTTGTACCAAAAGAAAAGAAAATTCTTCTGGGTCCACAGAGAAAAGGAGTTTGTCTTAAGGTATTTACACGTAAACCAAAGAAACCCAATTCAGGAAACAGAAAGTGTGCGCTGTTGAAACTCAGTAATGGCAAGGTTATCACCGCGTATATTCCTGGTGAACGAGCCGTGTTGCAGGAACATGGAGTTGTGTTATTTGAGGGGGGAAGAGTTCAAGATTGCCCTGGGATAAAATATAAGATAATTAGACGCAAATATGACATGAATTAGCTTGGGTACTGACGTTGCTTTTGAAACTCGTGAAACAAATTGTGACTGAAACACTTTAAAATACTTCTTCTATTATTCATAAGTTGGAGTGTCGCTTCCGCTTTGGCCGACAAATTATGAGGCCATTAGAAAAAACAGGCTCGTACATGTACCACTAGAAACACTAATTTTAAGTAACACTCGTACTAGAGCTAGTTAACATACTAGTAGCCAATTGCTTGGTTTAAAATATAAAAAACGTTTCTTTGTCTTTGACCTCCTCATTTACGGTTGAATTTGTGCTTTTGTGAGGCATTTGTCATTTCATGTTCGGAAAGCTTAGATTTTAAACAATTGCCCTAATCCCCGAGAATAAGGCATAAAACTCACAATTGGGCCACCCCTTGCGGAGAAAAAAAAACATGGAGGCCGTTTTGAAAAGCAAAAAATTTCAGGAGTAACTCTCAGATTTCTTGCTTGAAGCGGTGGAAAAAATGACAAATTCCCCACTCCCGAGCAGGATATTGGTGGCGAAGAACGCACGACTTAGCACATGCCAGGAGGGATGGGGTGAGGATGGACACGCATTGAATTTCCCTTATCTTAATAACGTAAAAAGCCACTCTGCAAAATCTGTCATCCCTAAAACCCTTTGTAGAGTAGATGGGAATGACACATTTGAAGCGGAAATGCATTTGTAATGTTTTTAGAAAAGGTTCCTTGAGAAAGCGCTGGCACAATATTTTCTTGTCCTTTCTACGTGTATTGTTTTATATATTTATCCATTTGTTTGTTCATTTATTTGTTCTACGTTGACATCTTGTCTGTTCTTGGTATTGGGTTTCCCACTTAAAACTTTCGGTTTTCATGGGCTTTCGGGTCTTGTGACTGCACTCCCGTGACACTGTAATCCCTTGAGAATGTTTTCATGATATGTAATAAAAATAATAATACTAGACCGCGAGCGGTCGTCCTTCTTTGCTCAGAGCCACACACGGCGAGCAAAAAAGTAAAATTATGCAAATTAATAGCAAAAATGGAGGAGAGATTGGGGCTTTGCTCGGGCTCCGCCCTTGTTTCTCGGGGCTTCGCCGCTCGCCCCTCGCGCGTGCCCTCGTTTTTCGTGCTCGCATTCTATCGTGTCTCAAAAGAAAATAGGAGACTGCTCGCGGTCTATAATAATATAGATCATTATCATGAAAATATACTATTTACACAACTGTAGTTTCCCATCTAACGTACGTCTACTCAGCAGCTGTGAATTTAGAGTAAACAACAGCTTTGTTTCCCAGAATGTCATTTAAATAGAAACGCTCAAATTCCTCTTTTTCAGAAGGGAAATCATCAGTCGAGCTTTTCGCGTTATCGATTATCAAAAGAAGTTTCGCTTTCTCTGTCAGCAGTTTCCAAAACTTTGAACTTCCGCGTGAATTGAATTCGCGTAGAATTTCCTTTGTGCAGAACGACATCAGGATAACATCCGCTTCACTAAATTCGTTCAGAAAAGCTTCGTTTACCTCAAGGTGTTCAAAATCGAAGCCTAAACTGAGTAAATAATTCATCCATCCCAGCTCAACATCATATCCGGTCATTCGAGGCGATAGCTTCCCACGCGAGCTAAACGGAAAAGCTTCCGCCAGAAATGCTTTGAAGCCGTAAAGATCACAACCTGGGCCACATCCGAAGCTCGCCACCGTCTTGATACTCTTAAAGTAGTTTCTTGGAACAAAACCTTCTTCCATTACTTTTGCGAAAGCTCTTTTGGTAAGGTTAACTCGAGCGTCAAAAAGTTGCATAGTGTAGTAAGCTCGAAAGTTCTGGCTGGCATAACACATCGATCTCCAATTCCAATTGTTTTTAACTCCTTGGATATAAAGAACTTTGCCTTCACCTGGATTGTTAAGTTGTGCGTCCGCAAGCGTTGCTATAACTTCAGCTCCACTTGGTTTATTCTCTTGTTCTTTGGTCTCGATTATCATTTGTTTCTTTCTAACACAAGCCATCTTTGAAAGACCTCTCGTATGTGTGTCTTGACAGTGAAAAGTCTATTCTATTCTCCTATCTTGTCATTGAACAAACAACTGATATCGTTGCTCTTTTATACCTTTGTTCCGCTCTACAAAGTTGTTCGTGACACTTTNAGCAGTTTCCAAAACTTTGAACTTCCGCGTGAATTGAATTCGCGTAGAATTTCCTTTGTGCAGAACGACATCAGGATAACATCCGCTTCACTAAATTCGTTCAGAAAAGCTTCGTTTACCTCAAGGTGTTCAAAATCGAAGCCTAAACTGAGTAAATAATTCATCCATCCCAGCTCAACATCATATCCGGTCATTCGAGGCGATAGCTTCCCACGCGAGCTAAAAGGAAAAGCTTCCGCCAGAAATGCTTTGAAGCCGTAAAGATCACAACCTGGGCCACATCCGAAGCTCGCCACCGTCTTGATACTCTTAAAGTAGTTTCTTGGAACAAAACCTTCTTCCATTACTTTTGCGAGAGCTCTTTTGGTAAGGTTAACTCGAGCGTCAAAAAGTTGCATTGTGTAGTAAGCTCGAAAGTTCTGGCTGGCATAACACATCGATCTCCAATTCCAATTGTTTTTAACTCCTTGGATATAAAGAACTTTGCCTTCACCTGGATTGTTAAGTTGTGCGTCCGCAAGCGTTGCTATAACTTCAGCTCCACTTGGTTTATTCTCTTGCTCTTTGGTCTCGATTATCATTTGTTTCTTTCTAACACAAGCCATCTTTGAAAGACCTCTCGTATGTGTGTCTTGACAGTGAAAAGTCTATTCTATTCTCATATCTTGTCATTGAACAAACAACTGATATCGTTGCTCTTTTATACCTTTGTTCCGCTCTACAAAGTTGTTCGTGACACTTTCTGCGTTTGACTTCCGCTTTCTGATGTAAATTTGTGACCAGGGAAACTCTGTAACTCCCATATATGTTGCTCTTAAATGACCGATATTGTCCTAAGGCGACACCTGATACAACAGTTTACCACAAAAGGATGTCATAACATCATAATGATATTCTGTGGAACGTTGAGCGCTAATAATTACCTCTTAAGACTAAATGATTTCAAAATAAATATCAAAACTGATCAAAAAATGAATTAAGCATCTTTATAACATATTTGAACCATTTTGAACAGTCTTATCTAATAATGATAATTTTTTTTTTAATCATTAATTCTTAATTGTTCGATTTCTTTTGAAGAGCATGATATTGCATAGTACGGACACGGTACATACCTTTGTCGGTACTAATTTTATTCGCAAGAGTCATCGTTCTCACAACATCAATATGACTGATAAGACTGAAATATTTAACCATAAAATAAATGAACCCCCGAATTCAACGGGCTGTAACGCCATTATATAACATCCGTTAAGTTGTAATCCGGTAAGCGTCTTTATCCAAATTTAATCTCTGCTTTTGGATTGATTTTTATAGTTCAGTCTCTTGTTAGATAAACAAAAAAGTGCTAAACGCTATTTAGGCCGTGCGCTTAATCGACTTAAAGCGACGCGGAATGCATCACTCTAGTATGTTACGCATGCCGACCTTTACAAGCTCGTATCCGTGCCTAACACTAGAGTCTTTCATCCTGCCTCCTGTTAATCATGGTAGAAGTCTCGAGAAAAAATGAGCTCGAAAACTGCAATCGCAATCGGAAAACCAGAGTCTTTACTTGGTGGCAAACTGGGCCAGAGGCGTCAATTATGGGTTGTTCATGCATACATGTATATCACGCTCGCCAGGTCGGGCTCTGCACGCGGTAATTGTGATAATGATATATTTCCTCAACGACTGTAAAAACACCAAAGATAACTATCTCGGTTTTTCGCTGACTATTTGCAAAAATAATTTTTATTTTATTGTCTGTTTGCGCTACTGCGTATTTTAAAATCTTTTATAACGCCTTCGACACGGGCAGCGTAGATGCACATAGTATAGACTAGACTAATTAGACGTAGCATAGACTAATTAACTTGACTCTTTTGGATTTTAATCGATTTTTTTAAATTCATTTACTAGTATTATCAGCTTGATGGAAAGCTGCGATATTAGCTCTGCTATATTTTGGGAAGAAACGTAACAGTCCTGAACCCATAAAACCACACTAACGACTAGCTTGTTTACATCTAAGACGCATGCATGAGCACAAACAATGATATTCAAGGTGTATGTTGTCTGCGTTTATGCTTAAAACAAGGCTTTATATATTCTACGTGAGCACACGCCTTTCCCGGCTTTTCTCTTTTTATACCCAACGATTCCGGTTCTCAGCGCGCAAAACCTTGGCGGAAAAGGTGTCTGTTATCTCAGGCGTTTATAAAATGTAAAACATAGATCACGTCATCATGGTGGGCTGTTTACAAAAATTTCGGACGCCAAAAGGGTTGAACCCATGGGTTGAACCTGTCTAGTCTTTGTTAGTTCTAATAAAAAGGTGCAGTGAGGTGACGTCAACGTTAAACGGTTAGTGAACAAATAAATTTCCTTTTTCAAATCAGGTCAGAATCATGAAGCTTGGGATGATGGGCCAAAGCATATTAGTTTTCAATCAGGCATTGGCAGAGCCTACTTTTGCGTCAAAAGCCTGTCTATAATAATGAAATGGAAAGTTCCTTTTATGTTTTTTTTTTTGCTGAACATTTGCAAAAGTAGATGGTATTTTATTGCCTGTTTGTGCTTACTATGTACAGTGCCACCTCTATTAAGCGGACCCACAATTAAGCGGACACTAAGCCGCGTCCCGAAATTAACGTCTTATATTTCCCTTTATAACGAACCCCTATTCAGCGGACACCTCTATTAAGCGGACGAGGACACTAAAATAAATTGTATTAGGCTAATTTCTATTGTTAAAAACCTCCATTAAGCGGACACCGGACTGAGTTGACAATAGTAGTCAGGGGCACCCAACGGCAATTTCGGGAAAATATCTGTTCGGAAGACGATTTGAGAACTAGAATTTTCGGAACATTTGTTGTAAAATTTCTTGCTTGCCCGCCTCCCCTAGGATTTTCGAACATCTACAAAATGGTATAATTACCCATTTTAAACGGATATTTACCCTAAAAAAGGCCACCTAGAGTTTTCGGGAGCCTTTTCCTGGCTGAAATTTTCGAAAAGGTAAGTTTTAATCCTTATAATTTTCGGATCACTAGACTTTCAGCTAGGAAATCCGAACAGATGAAAAGTTTTTAGGGTATAAAAATATGCCTATATCTACCGTTTAAATACTAAAAATACGTTCAACAATGCTATGTTAAGTGGTTTTGAACTATATCCTCGTTGGGTGCCCCTGAGTAGTATTGGATTACGCCCTTGAAATACGTACTGTAGTCGATTAATGAAGATGAATCAATACATTTAGCTGTCAAAAGTTCACCTAAAAGTCTTGTACAAAGTACAGCACAGCTTCCTTAGCTTCCTCAACAACATGGAACTTTATCACAGTACACAGTAACCGTTGAACGAACAATGGGCAATTTTTACAAACCTCTATTAAGCGGACACCCTCTTTTAAGTGGACACTTGGGAAGGTCCCGAAGGTGTCCGCTTAATAGAGGTTTCACTGTATGAAAGATACCGTAAAATTCCGAAAATAAGCCCCTCCAAATATAAGCCCACCAAACAGGTAACGCAAAAAACCCTCCGTTAAATCGCCCCTCCAAATATAAGCCCCCAGGGGCTTGTACCTGGAAAATTGCCCTCAAATATAAAGTAAAACAAAGCAAAAACGGTAAATTTACTTCCAACTATAAGGCCAGGCCAATCGATTTTGAAACGCAAATTTCCGTCCACAGATAAGCCCTTCCAAAAATAAGCCCCTCAAAAAGGGCCATTGAAAAATATAAGCCCCGGGCCCATTTCCGGAATTTTACGGTATAATATTTTAGTAAAATCCAAGTAGTGGTCTATTATCAATTCTGCTCAGTTATTGGTTGAGCTACAACTAGGCTATATGTTATAGCCCACGCGCAGGCTTTGAAAACCAAAACAATGGCGACTGAATGGTAAGCTAGCTAAAGCTGTTTTGTCTCGATATTTTTTACCAACTAGTTGGATTTTACTAAAACAATTATTCCTCTCGCCCTCATGGCCTCTGATGAGTCAATAGCCCATTTGGCCTTCGACCTCATGGGTCATTGACTCATATAGCCGATTGCCATTCGGGCTTGAGGAATAATTTTTAAAAATCTTGTTTCACGCCTTCGACACGGACTTGAATCTTAGAATCTTGATCGATTTTAGTTTTAATTTATGAACTAGTATTAATCAGCCAGGTAGAAAGTGCGATATTACAGAGATTTAGAGGCCCGGTTACATCAACCGGCAAACGTCAGCCTGATTCAAGTTGAAAATTTTCCCGAAAAAAGAAAATGAGCAGATGAAAACTGAGCGAACTAATTATTTTGGATAAAACTTGTGTGAAACTCAACTAGTATTAGGTAACATCGGCTGAAGTCAGATTGTTTCTTTCAGTAAAATTACATGAAGAACAACTTAAGTCCAACTTTACTGTGTAATATAAAATGAAATAGAAAAAATCCACTGTAATGCTTTGAACCCGGGTCACTTGCTTTATAGCCTACATCCATATCCACTACACCATCACCAATAATTTTTAAAATAAATATGTTCTTATGCCGTACCCTATTACAATGTTTGAAACCTTACCGTTTTCAGTTCAGTGCTTAACCCTAATCACTACAGATCAGTGCTTAACTCTCTACTGTGTTCTCTCCATAACGGGCGCTCTGTAGGTTTGGTTTCTTCAGCTTCAGGTACATTCCAGTCTCGTTCCATTATGAAAATAATGCGTTGTGTAAAATTCATAAGGTGTCCAATCTGGCTTCACTCGATGTTATCTAACGCTAACCGTAATAAACAGTAAACGACAAGTAAAGGGAAAACTTGGTCACGTGGTACATATTCACGTGATTCTAAATCTCACGAACCAATTACTATAGAAATAGCTTCTGCTA